ACTTTGGACACCAACCTGAAGTTGGACTTTGTTTGACCTTATTTTATACAAAGGTCATGACCTGAGAATCTCGAACTTTGACCCAAGTGAGGTCAAGTCCAGGTCAATACACTCTGTAAATTTGGTGTTTCTAGCTCCCCTAGTTTTTGGGATCTCAGCAGAGCCAAACTGACCTCCACCCGAACAAATATATCCAGGCTGCCATCCGGGCGCGTGTTTAGAGTGAATATATAAGCATGCCGGTTATTTGATCAGCACGGCTTTTCTTTAGAATTGCAATGCTAACAAAATCACATCATCTGATTCGAGCAAGATCGGAAACGCTAACCTTGTCACTAGCGAAACAGCTCCAAAAGGCGAGCTTAATACTGAGCCCAGATCCTAACGACTCTGTGTCTCAACGACACAAGATCAACGCATTTCGACAGAGGAGAGAGTAGCAGATAATCATACGTGCAAATGTGTGGGTCAATGTGTGCGGCCGTTCACGCGCGGGGCTGCAAGCCACCGGTCTGCCTGTTTGCTGTTAATTACTGATATCTTAGATCCCGGAAACCAGAGAAGATAAAGACCGGAAATTAGCTGCGCAGTTAACGCCATTGCTCTGTCTACGGATCACTTTCTTTGCAGTGTCCCGATCTGGACGTGTGCCAACTATTGACTGGAAAGGCGCCAACGTCACATAGTTGAAAAGGATCAAATATAACATGCTGCGGCCTTAACCAAGGTCGGCACTGGACTACAAAACATACACGGCCATATGGTCCAGTTTGTTGTGACCAACGTCCATCCACACATGGGTGTTATCCACAATTTGTACTCTTGGCGCAGTAGGATAAGATTCAAGCCACGCGATTTATGGACCAGCTGACGAACGATACGCAAGTGGACTACAGCCGCCTAAAATGTCATGAAATTACGAAGCTTTCAAATATACATTGGGCAAAACTATTTTGTGCGCTTCCGAAAGCTTCTGATTTCATCAGCTTAGTTTGGGTGTCTTAGACATTATGACAGTTGATAGCTGACGTGTTCCATCGTCTTGTTCGCCCCTACATTGCAAACGACGTATTGCTGGTAGGTAATTGGCTAACTACTCAAGGTCACACCACGCTAACGGTGGCCTGAACGTAGGGGACACTTCTAAAACACAGCCTGTTTTTTTCCTTCTTTTTTGTTTTGAACTTACTTAGCCAATTAGTCTGGGCTGAACGCCAATTCCAGTCAAATCTATCGTAATAGCGAAACGGGATGGTTTCCGTTCCATGCCCATTTCTGCCCCATGCGGTGTGTTTCAGACGCAACAAGAGCATTTCCATTGAACTAGCCTTATTCCCACCTTTTCGGCTTTATTCCCATCTTGCATGCGTCCCTCGTAGGCATGGTTAAGGCAGTGTGAGAAGTGAGGAAGTTAACGAACCGAATTGGCAGTTTTAATCAAACTGCCATCGTGTAAAAGCATTCCTGTTACAAAAGCAAGACGCATGCAATGAATGCAAATGCAGCAGCACGACGGTTCCGCCAATCAGAACTGAATTTGAACCAGTGGTACTCGAAAGGTAGTGGGCATGAGTACTGCTGGGACTGCCGGTACTCCAAGAGGCACCCTGTCTTGAGTGCACTTGTCTTGAGTGCGCAGCTCGTACCAGTGCTGGCTATAGCTAAGCGTTGTTGGCTATAGGCCGTTACCAAGGCTTCTCGGCCGGTGTCCGTATGGCGCCGGCACCACGCCTTAAAAAAAAAAACGCTGCCTTTAATCCAGCCCACTGGCCACCCGCAAGCTGGTGGTCCCTCTCCTACCCTCCTCCCACCTCGATGAAGCACGCTGAGCGCGCCGGGTGTGCGAGCCGCCGCCGGGCCGCCAGCTAACGGCGGAGCGGTGAGCGGCAGCGGCCCTGTCCGGTGAGCGGCAGTGGGCGGCGGTGGCTCTGTCTGGCGAGCGGCAACGGCCGCCAGCGGCCCTGTCCGGCGAGCGGCTGCGGGCGCCAGCGGCTCTGTCCGGCGAGCGGCAGCGGACGCCAGCGGCCCTGTCCGGCGAGCGGCTGCGGGCGCCAGCGGCTCTGTCCGGCGAGCGGCAGCGGATGCCAGCGGCTCCGTCCGGCGAGCGGCAGCGGACGCCAGCGGCCCTGTCCGGCGAGCGGCAAGGGCCGCCAGCGACTCTGTCCGGCGAGCGGCAGCGGGCGCCAGCGGCCGTGTGCGGCGCCACGCGGACGTCACCGGTGAGAGATAGCTCCGGTCGCGTCAGCGGTCGACGCTCTCTCGCAGGCGGCACATCTCATCAGTCGGCCCGTGATCCATGTGCGATCCGGGCCGCGCCCTCAGGCCCAATGCCGTCCGCAGCGCGCCGGCCGGCCGAGGAAAAGATCGCCCGTGGTTTGACGGAACAGCGACGCCGGCGAAATCGATCTGGCGAGTGGCGGCCGCGGAGGGACCCGGTGGGGAGGCGAGGGCGGCGCCGGCACACCCGAAAGCGATCGGTTCGTTCCGCGTCTGCGGCGGGGCCGGCCCGCCCCCGGGGCGCATGGCGACGAAAAACAATCGTCCGTCGATGACGCCAGAGTTACGGGCGCGACAGCGAACCGGACAGAAAGCTGGCTGCAGACATCGTTCATTACTCTGCAGGGGAGGCCTCGGGCGCGGACCTTCCATACGTGATGAATGCGTTTTCCAGTCGGCCTGGTGCTGCGCGGCGGGCGTCTCCGTCTGTGCCCACGTTCGCTCGCTCCGTCACCGGCCAGGTATGCGGGACCGCCACCAGCGCCCCGCTCCGTCGCCTTGGCGGACTCGCGGCGTGCGATGTGCGCGCGATAGCGCCGGCCGCGTCCGCCCGAGCGCCGCTAAGTGGCCGGCGGGAGACCGATGGACGGGTGTGGACCGCCCGTCGGCGACGACGCAGGTGACGTCCGCCGACGCGGGTGGGCCGGCCGCGTCCCACGCCCGCGCCGGCAGCCAGCCGCCGGTATAATCCGGACGCGTGCGGGCGGTAGACAATCATGGTGCACGTTTGGCAGCGAGATGTGCGACGCGTGCTGCCTGCCGGTTGCCGGCTGTCGGCCGGCTCATCGAGAAAGCCGCAGCCGGCGCAGACCGGGCTAATTGTGATGTGTTGGCGACACGTGTCGGCGAGCACCACTCAGCGGCGGACCACCGAGGACGTGTCGGGAACGGCGTGTCTCCGCCAGTCAGGCCCCCTCGTCGGAGCTTCGCCACTCTGGAACAGAGACCTTCATGGTCGGAAATACACCCCGAACGGCGCAGCGTGACCTCGCCAACCTGTCTGAGGCTGTAGAGAATTAAATAGCTGATCTGTTAGCATAAAAATGGATGCATATCGCACGGCCGCTCATCTATGGTAGGCTAAAGGCAGGGGATGGCTGTCAGGGCAGCCACTTCCTAGGGAATCCGTCAATCTGCTTGCGAGCGCGGATTTTTAGATAAATTCATACATCTCTGGGATGCATTCTTAGGCAATTAGACGATTGACTTTAGGATAACGACGAATTCCATCGCCCCTGGATCATGTATGAAGTTCAAACCGAAATCAATGCTAACCTGCCTTCTACTGGAGGATTCGCTTTGCGAGGTACCTTTTGACGCTGTTCTCAATTTGCTTGATCACAAAGACTTCATAGGCATCCAATTTGGCTTACGACTGGCAATGACTTAATGAAAGTCTCAGGAGGTCACTGATATATCAGCAAGGCATGTTACGTATTGCGCAAATATTGCTAAAAACAATGGTGATGAAAGGACAAATTGCGAAAAGAGCAGTTCCGGTCCATGCCATTTCACGCATGCATAATGGACTTATAACCATAGCGTCATTGTCGTCTTTGGGAAAGGAGCCTGTTAATTCCTCGTGCACTCGTTGTTGTTCCCCGAGCCGTGTTTAAGCACAATATCACTTTACCTCTGCCTGCTTGTTTTCCTCAAAATTATATCTCATTTGTTTCAGCATCCTGTTGTGAATCAAACTTCCAGGAACCAGGAAAGTATGAGACGCTGTCCAAACTAATTAACAACGCGCTGGCATCGTGTTTTCTGCTTCAGTTGTAGTGCACCTGAAGAATTCGACCAAATTCTTGTCGTAGCGAACGACCCTGGCAGACCAGTTGTAAACAGCTATGGCTGCAATGTGTTGACAGAATGACCATATGACACAAAGACATCTGAATTTCAGATGAAAACGTATATGCAGAGTTTATAAGATCCCCTCTCTGCATGCAGACGTCATGCAGCACATTTGATGTGACATTCAGGACTTCCATTTAATGGACTCGTCCAACTCCTTTTGAAGGTTGGAGTGGGTGAGAACAATTTAAAGCGCGGGAAATCACCTGAATTTTGAGCTTACGTACCGTGTTCTTTAACTTTTGTGCTCATATGAACTTCAAGATCGCTAGGTTGTGTGGTAAACTGCTTGACCGAGACATCGGAGGACGGGGAGCAGCGTCGTTTTATAGCCGGTGCTTTCCATGAATCCAATCCATAATTGTTTAAACGTGATTGATCCGATCATGCACATGTTTGTTTGCTCCAAATGTCTTAACAAAATACTAAGAGACTCTGAAACACCCGCCTGCATTAAAAAAAAAATAAAGGCATGCCAGCAAAAGCCGCGCCACTTCAGCACGTGGATTGGTTGGTCGTGGACATGGACCGCACGCGGGAACAAGGCATGTGAAGCAGTGTGGCACGTTGATTGTGCTTGTGCTGTGCAGTTTGTGCGTTATGCATAATTTTACGAAAAGAGCGAATGAATTCGCAGTATTTTTTTTCTCCTGGGAAAGAGACGCGCGCTATAGAAGACGGCTGAAGCGACGCAACTCGACGTTGCCATTAATCCTCGCCGCTGAGTGAATCAGGTGCCGGACTTTGCGTTATTCTGCCCGCAGCGTGACTGACCGGGCTGCTGGTCTGCTCGTAGTGTAGCTGACCTTGCCGCTATTCTGCCGGCAGTGTGGGACTGGTAACTGACCTTCCCGTTGTTCTGCCCGCAGACAGAGACGCTGACGTTCCTCTGGATCCTTTTCATCCTCATCATGCTGGGGAACTCGGCGGTGGTGATAGCACTGGTCACATCCAAGGCCAGGAAATCGCGGACAAACTTCTTCATTCTGCATCTCGCGTTTGCAGGTGAGCCAGCGTCTCACGTGACCTTGGGACATGGCATTTGTCCAGCGCCGGTGAGGGGCAATATCACAGGACCAAGAAATCTGCGATACTAGCCGTTTTTACGAAAGATTACAATGCAATTTGTCGAAGCTTTGAGCAACTTTTCAGTGTTTGTATTCTGACAACGTACCTTTTAGCAGCGATTTTCAGCGAGAGATGTTTCGCAGATATTTAATTTGTTAAGACTCATGATTTGATAAAATTGCGGTTTAGATGGATATAAGCAAGATCAGGCTTTTTATGAAGAGGTATGATGCCTCTTAAAGAGGAGGGCAGCCAGAGAAAAATATCAGTGGTCGAAGAATTGCTTGGGGACGATGGCTGGGCAGACAGCTTGAGAGCAAGGTGTCCAAGGCTGCCTACCTGCTTGTCGGCTGTAAGCAGGCAGGCAGCCTTGGGCATTTACTGAACTCCTGAGTGTCTAGTGTGCTTTTGACCGGTCAGGGGTCCCAAGGCCCCGATCGTCCAGAGGGGTTTGAGGATGACTGAATCTCTCTGGCGATAAAATAGGGCACTGGGTGGCCGGCGAGCCCCCAACAGCCAGACAAGCGCTTAGGTGGCCAAAGGGCCCTCGAGCAATTTAAAGTACCCATTGATAGCCGGAGGTGCCTTGGGCGGCCAGCGAAGCCTCTTAGCAGTTCAATGTAAGTGCCACCAGGGCTGTTCAATGGTCAGAGGCCCCAAGTGACGCAGTGAGGCCACAGTGACCAGAAGAGCCCGGAACGGCTATGCTGGCCTAAAAGCAGCCAGGCGGGTAGTGAGCATACATCAGGCCCGGAGTGGTGTACGCGACCCTTGAACTGCCAAATAGCCCCTTTTGTTTCCGATGTCCCTTTAATGTCCGGAACGGGCTTTGGAAGATCAGGGTGGGCAGTAAGCAGCTATAAGTGTTCCCAAGCGAGCAGTTTCCCTGACGTACAGAAAGATCGCGCTTAACAGTCATAGCGCTCCGGGTTGAACATGTGGGGTCTATTGAGACACCAGATGATCTGCTTCTGCCTAAACTTCTATCCGGACAAAGAAAATCGCTCCATGCTGCGCAGTTGACGAGAATCCACCATAGCGCACCTGGAACCAGCAACCTTATCCCTAATGAAGAACCCCGGAGCCCCACATTTTAGGCTTTCCAGGGTCCGGGGATTTCCGATTTATCCATAGGGTCTCCATGCATGGACAGACCGCCCTTTCGCATGTGTTGTTGGCTGTCGGCAGATTCTGCAGTTATTTGACACTTGGCGTTTATATGTTTTGTAACACTAAATTTCACCATTGCCTGACAAGAACATGAAAATGTAGAACACAATTTTGGCGTGCTGAAATAGAAACAAGAAATTCAGTGTCCACATCTCAGCGAACTACCGCATTAATTGGCTCAATTTTGACATTTTGGATAAGACATCATGACTTTTACTTACACCACCAGTCCTTGCGTCTTCTGCGTCGCCGTCTTCTAGGAAAGAGAAGTTGGGCTGGTGACCCAGCGGTACTAGGAATGAGTTCCAGAGCGGGCGCATTGTTGTGCTCAACTGAAATGAACAGGTCAGCTATCACTTGGCCAACGACGGTCAATCCAGGCCAGGGGTGGCGGTGACGCAACATTGCGCGCCACGGCCTCAAAACGGACGGCACGACAGGGGCCACCCCACGACGTGGTTGGCCCTGTGGGCGGCCCCCAAAGGTTCCATGAAGACTATTCGGAACATTTGTGATCGCCGGTATTCGGTGCATTCAGCTCAGGTCAGGTTCTTTAAGTTGTTATTAAAGAGACCATCACACAACATCTGCCACAAACAAGCTGTATTCCGTTGTTTTTTTGTTGTTAGTTTCACATCGGCATGCCAGTTCTTCTGAGCTCACATACATGAACCATCCCCCTGATGAGGGGAGGGGGGGGGATTGATGACGATGGGTGAGCCTCCACTGAGCCCCACTCCCTCCCAAAGCCTTCTGGGGATACCAGTCTGGCATTTTTTGGCATCGCGCCCAAATTTTGGTAAGTTCATGGTCACTTGTGCGTGTTTTGACACTAAAAAACGTGCCCCTAGCGTTCCTGGTTAATAAGAAACGATAAATCTTTAAGAGCACTGCGAGACGATCTACGGTCGATTTGACAGGATGTAGGGATCTTGGGTATGAATATCTTGGGTATAAGGATATGGAATAGAGGTTTGGAAAAAAACTAAGCATCTCACAACTCGCTAGACTGCGTGGGCGCCACCTTCGACAAGGTGCAAAACGAGTTAAGAATGAAGGAGGGTTAATGAAGGGTTACGAGTTAAGAATGAAGGGTTATTAATCTGCCCAAAATAAGACAACACATCAATAACTGATAGGCATTTATGTGTTCGACACGTGGTGTAGTTTCGTTAGATGCTGCTTGCAGTTTTATATTCGGTATCTGATTTCATTTATCCGGTAAAATACCACCAAATATACCAATTCCGCACATGGCCCCATGATTTCAACGCTAGAAGGACGCCTCGCGTGGCGCGGGACGAGCACTGCGATGATAGATGGGAAACTTGTCATCTGACAGCATGCAGCTGTAAAAAACTAAATTGGCCCAGACAGACATATTTGTGCAACCGACACCAATGATCTTGAATAATGTGCTGGAATGTCTGTCTTTCACGGGATTTTAACAGACAGAGGTTCGCTAATGTAGCGGTCGCCCGCCATTTCTTACATAACATTGCTTCGAAATGACGGCTATGATCCAAACCAGGCCTAGCAATGACAGTCAACAGAATTAATAAAGTTGTAGTAGTTAACGATTTGGGCGATTGTGGCAGAAACATCCCAAAAATACAACTAGTTCTGGTGGCTGTTGTTTACAATGACCAGACCCAGTAGCCTGTGTCGTTAACATGGTGTAGTCTCTCTCAGTTTAGGCCACAGCACCCTGCATTTGGAAAAGGTTACGGGAAACGTGATTTTGGCTTCTTTCTGGTCTGTTGCTGGTGCCTCCATAGGCCAATCAGTTTTAACATGGGCCATCGAGTGGAAGCCTGAACATTGCTTGAAATAGACAACGTACAGGGTGCATTTTCTTTGAATAGAAACATATGAAATTTGGCTTTCAGTTGGACGTATAATAAGACAAGGAGAATGGCTTTTGGATCTGGATGGACTTGGTCTTCAGAAATGACGCATAATAAGACAAGGAGATTCTTAGGCGAATGAATTGTTAACCGTAAGGGACAAGCGACCAGAATTTCGTGAGCCAACGAACGCTAAGCGCACGTAAATACTGGGATGAGGATGGATGGGGATGAGAATGGGATGAAAATGAAGGAAGGCAAGTGACAAAAACAAAAATTGTCTGAAGGAATTGTCATGTGACGATCATTGTCCTTTTTGTGCTCGTTTCTGTACGTCCACTAAGCCGGCGCGCCCCATGTATTTCGCAGCATTGGTTTGGCGCTCGATGTGGGTTAAAATGTTGCCAGGGAATGAAGGTGTTGCTTTGGTTGACGGTGGGGTGATCCCACCCGAGGCTGTCCAGCTTGCTGTAAGAGCGATATTCATCTGTATTAACTGTGTTTGCCTTTCGAAATGCTCCAATTCTATGGGGACCGTTTCGTTGCAACACCAGGTTAATTATCTTCAAAATATTCTCATGATTTGCTACACCGTACACACGTGCAGACTATATTTGATCTCGTTGTACGATCGTTCCGTTGTGATAATTATTCTTCCAAAGGACGATGTAGTTCGCCAAGAGTACGTTACCGGCTCCGCCTACTTTCAAATCATTCGTTGTCACCAGGAATACCAGAGCATCTTTTGACTTCGTATCCCGGTAACACTACACCAATCGGACAGCCTTGTTTGCAGCGACTGACAGCGTTCCTTTTGACTTCGTATCCCGGTAACACTACACCCAATCGGACAGCCTTGTTTACAGCGACTGACAGCATTCCTTTTGACTTCGTATCCCGGTAACACTACACCCAATCGGACAGCCTTGTTTGCAGCGACTGACAGCGTTCCTTTTGACTTCGTATCCCGGTAACACTACACCCAATCGGACAGCCTTGTTTACAGCGACTGACAGCGTTCCTTTTGACTTCGTATCCCGGTAACACTACACCCAATCGGACAGCCTTGTTTGCAGCGACTGACAGCATTCCTTTCATTTCTTTTGACGTGGTTTCGTAGACCAACGTTTTCAGCCAGTACAGGCAACTGATTTTGAGAGTTTCCTGGTTTCATTAGGAAGTTATGAAGCAAGATATGTTTCCTGTTTTGGCATATAATTTACAGCACCACACTTTCTACGGATCACCTACCTTTTTGCTATGTGCTCTGCTGCGACGACCGGGCCTTTCGGCGGAACAGAGCCTGATCTACGCATTAGGTTGTTTCTTTGTTAATTGCCGACGATTTCTCCGCATCACCGTCTCGCCATTTGAAAATTACCAGTTCTTGAAACCTGGCAACCTCGCCTAGATCCGTGCCTACCATGAAGTGAAACCCTGCACTTGGCTCCGAAAATCTTCTTGGCTCGTGAAGTAAAATACGCCGGCGTCAGCAGGTAACCGTTGCGCGCGCTACTTTTTCGTTGTTTGGTGTTCAAGTGCGAATCGCCGTATTTGGAAACATTGAGCGTTGCTGATGCCAGATAATTAGCAAACTCTGTGCTCTGTCTCTTGCCTGGTAAATGCAACGTCTTGCTTCATAAGTTCCGAGTATTCGTAGCTGCTTCCCGGAATGAGAGCATTGGAATGATTCACTCAGTCTGCTCTGCATCACCATGGTATAGTAGTCCAAGAAGGATGTCAGCGCAGTTACCGTCGTGTTAAGAGGACGGTAACCGTGCTAGGGGGAGCGGGTACGATTCTAGGTAGGTAGTTTATAGACCTGCTGGTGGACGGCACGCTCTTAGGATTTTATCAGCCCCTGGAACATTGGATACAGCACGCTAGCTGGATGGCCGGACTAAATGCATCTTCCATCTT